GACGAAAAACTTCATAGCCCGCGCACCATATTGCGCATGGCGCCACCTTCCTAGGACTAATGGCCGCCACGTGGCGCGCAATTCAAATAAGTAAGTTCCCGCGCCGCACCCTGTATAATATCAAAGTCAATCAATATTGATTAATATTACAACAGTTTGGATACATTTTTTTAAAATTAATCTTGGTTGGAACGGTGATAAAAAAATTGATGCGAGACGATTGGAAATGATGAATATAAAAAATGAAAACAAATCATAATGATCTACGAATAATTTACATAGGGTTTATCACTTAAACTGGTCTAAACTTGTGCCGAGGCATTTATCAAAATAATTTGATTCGGGCTCTGCGATTTGACAATAGGATTTAAATTGAGAGTTCGATGAGGTCGTTGACTTACCCGACCTCCTTGCATGTAGCGAACTCCTATAGCTCTGTTTTTGTTGTTAAACAGAATCTGAAAATAAAGAAAAACTCAGTCATATAATTTTTTAAAGTTATGTTTCCTAAACTCATTATTATGAGACTTTTAAAACAAAGATGCACATGAATAAATTCAAATATTTCTATTAAGGTTATGCTAATTCGTAATTGTCATCATGGAGACATTATCTGAATTTAAAAAAATTGTTCTTTTGATAGCTTATATTATGATGAGACATTTAACAAAATTATTCTTTGATAGCATCGACTCCCTACACCAGTTAGTTCTATTTCGATGTGACAAAACAAACCGAAAGGTAACTTCTTCTACCTATATTTCGGTAAATTGTAAAGTTTGGTTTAGATGCTTTTGCGCTTTCTCCCTTTTTTATATCAACAAAAAATTAATTTAGCTATAATGTGAGTACTACTGGGTGACTTAGAGTTGACTTAGTCTATGTGAGTACTACTGGAGGATCAGTTCTACTCCGTCAGCGTAGTTTTTTTCTGACAGTTTGTACCCTTATAACTTGCGAATCGGTCTGCAGGGAGAGATTTGGTCTGCTCAGGGTGGGCTTGAGATAGGCATCTGCAGCTGAGTGGCGTTCACCTTTCTTTGTGGTATAATCCGGCAGGAAGTATCCTGCATGGAAACATGACCTGTATTTCATTGAAACTCAAACTTGAACTACCATGAATATTCCATCTCGTAGCATTAATAAAAAAAGCGTTTTACTTTGCCCAAAATTAAAATTTTTACTGAAATAAATTTGCACTAAATTAACAGATTCGTACCAAAATGCCACAATAAGAAATTTCATTTATAATTTGAATACATTGTGTGCATCCAAAGATTACTCTATTAATATCAGTGCAAAAATAATATCACATAAAATTACCAATAAAGTGCAATAGGTTCATTGCGATGATTTTTCGCACAATACATACCAATTGTCTTTTTAGCGTTGGGGTCAATTTTTTTAAAACCCATTTCCCTGGCTGCCGCGAAGACATACTTGGAAAGGTCGAACCAATTCGAGTTGGAGACCGAGAGTGGTCCTCCCAAACCATGATACGGCACTGAAAAGTTAAATGAAGTCAAATTCAATCAAATAATGAATATTTTAGAATGTTTAATACTAATTAGAGTGTAGCCTGTACGAAATGACCACATAAGGATGCAGGATTATTGAGCACAAAAAAATTACTGACAGATTATTATATTGCTTTCAGGATAATTCAGGATGACATAAATTTTTTAAATATACCAGGATAACATAAATTTGGAAAATATTCCATTGCACCTTGAATAGCCTTTTTCGCCCAAGCTGGAGAAGGTGTTTTGTGGTAATTTCATTGAATTTTTCGCAACTGTACGCGAACCAAATCGAAATTTGTGTTATTTTTAGAACCGCCACATGCATCGCGAGTAAGAGGTGATTTAAAATATTTGTGACCTACTATGTTCATTGCTAAAGGAAAATTCTGTTCCGCAAATTAGAATGACACACATCTGCTGATTTACAAAAAATTGCTGTTGTACCCTATGTGGCAAATCTATCCCATTTCTGAGCCAGAAGCTGCTAAGCGTGCCGTGTAATGTACTCTGCACACTGGCTTACTACAACATTAATTTAACTTTTCGTATAGTTATCTGAGGATAAATCTGTGTGATGAATTGTTATAAATAGAAAATAAACTCACAGTCTTCAGCAGAGAGTTTTCCTTCATAGTTCTCGGCTTTCTTGTTTTGGGAGAAGCGGCCAATCTGCCGTTGCGCGCTCATAATCGCCCTCCACGCCGATAAACAACGGCGCCACGGCCTTAAATTTTAACTGGGTTGGGCACCTGGTGCTACGCTTGTTTTCAGGTCGGTACCTTGGGCACTCACGTCGCATGTGGTCACTATTGCCGCAGATGAGGCAGGCCCCACCCGCAAACCAACAATCTTCTGTTAAGTGCGCTTTCACGCACCAATCACAAAACCTACGGCAATTGGAAGTCTTGCCACTGCCCCTGGAATGCAGGTTGTCCGCTCTCTGCTTTTGTGGAGAGTATACTTGCGACTCTGAGATAGTGTTCTGGGGCCATACTTTCAAAATTCGCTCAGTGAACGTAAGTACTTACGCTCTATTGTCTTGTCTATGATTGGTGGATTTTGCTTGAAAAGCCGTCAATGATTGGCTGATGAACTTACAATCGCTTAACTTTTTTTGAAAGTATGGGCCCTGGAACTGGCATGCAGAAGACAACCCAGGCCCATGTAGTGGACCACGAGAAAATGGGTGCACTAAATTCATAAAAATATCAGTTGCATCAACTTTAACATGATTAAGTTAGTGATGCATATCAAATAGTGAGCAGTCTACTATAATGTCAACACTGAAATTGACACATACTTTTGCTTTAATTTCATACTTTGATTTCACATGACATTGCATCTCAGGACCGAGGGGTTTGCAGGACCCCTAGTAGGAAAATCCTACTTCCTTGCAGTATCACTCAAATGGGCTTCCCACAACACCATAGCACAGCACACCTCTCCATGTTCCCCCGNCTGTCTTTGTACGTTCTTCATGTTGCTCCACGCTATCTGTCCAAGAACTTATCTCCCTATGAAGTAGTGGGCCGTTATGTACTGTTAATGGTATAGTTGGCACTGGTGCTCCATCCCAACTTTTGAGAGAAACCATTCTGGGCAGAGTGTTCATTATTTCCTGGGACGTATGACTAGAGAATCCAGAAAAACTATCACTTGATGCACCAGAGGTGAACAAGGAATTTGACAGGAGAGATTCTGACATAGCTTGGGGTGGAATAGACTGGCCCTCCTCATCTGAGCTATCATCCCAACCTGAACACAGATATGGTGGCGACTCTTTCCATCGCAACAACTGATTGTAATGTGCACGGCTGGTCTGGCCACTTTTTAAGTGACGAATTCTGAAGGTGACCTTATTGGGGTTCACTTCATATACCCGAAATGGCCCCTCATATCGAGGCTGGAACTTATTAGTTGCACAGTTCCCCAACAAGGGGATTTTTTTCTCCACAAGATCACCCACAGCAAATGGGGTAAATTTATCATTCCCTGCCTTCCACACTGCCAGCTTAGGCATTGATATTACTGGTTCATCAAGCACTCTATGAGTGTTTGTTAACAGGTACTCAGCAGGGGACATGCCAATTTCTGCATGTTTTGTGTTATTGTACACCATTACTATTTTACAGAGCTCTTTATCCCAGGTGGCTGATGACTGAACTAAATTCCTCAACAGCTCCGCTATGGTGCGATTGGTTCTTTCCAGACAGCCATTACTTGAAGGGCTATATGACGTAGAAAATATATGTTTAATGCCCAATCTATCAAGGAACTGACAAAAGGCGTCACTCCTGAACTCTGGTCCGTTATCCGTCAGAATTCGATCTGGTACTCGAAGGAGTGCTGGACGAATACGCGTTTTAAAGGCATTTGTAACTGTGGCAGCTGTTTTATTCAACAGATGAGACACACTAAGCCACTTTGAGAAATGGTCTACAGCCACAAGGCAACCAATATTGCCTGACAAGGTAAGTGGGAACTGTATGTATCAGATCTAGAGCTAACAGATCAAAAGGGTGATGAGCTAGAATCTTCAACATCGGTGTAGAGCTGATGTTGAGCTGATACCTTGTACAGTTGACAATGTTTACAGGTGGTGCATTCGTCGGACACAACCTGAACCAATCGAGAGTGCCATACATTCCTCCGCAGCAAACTCAACAGCTTCTCACCTCCCAAATGTGCCATGTTGTCATGGGTTGTTACTGCAAGAGCTGCGAGCATGCCAGGTGGCACCACACAGCTAATTAGGTCTGAGTGATAGAGCAATATGCCCTCCTGCATAAAGAGCCTTTGAGCTGCACTTCGAAATTCCTTCAGCTCAGCTGGCCACTGAGCAGGAGGTAGTTCACTTTCCAGATTATTGGCCAATAACAACATGACTGTGTCTTGTTGAGCCTCCGCAATACATCCTGGGTATCTTTTGGCAATAGGAGGAAGCACAACACCCTCATCCTTTATGCATGGTCTCGACTCTATCAACAGGATGGGATTACTGCTTTCCAAATTACTCATTGGTAGGAGAACAGCCCCTTTGCTTTTCTGATCCCAATTTGCTTGAAGTTTATCATTAAATAAATTAAATTTCAGACCCTGGCTGACCAGGAAATCCATGACCAGCAGAAAACAATGTGGTATGCTTTCATGATCCACAACTCCAAGGATATGAGAGCACACAGGTAACCCAGGGCAGCAAATCTTAATCTCTACCAATCCCAGAGTACAAGTGATTTTTCCCGCATAGCCCTCCAGTTTTAAATCGTCCACATTACACACCACTGGCTTCACATCACACACTCCTAACACTGACTTTCTGACTAGACTTACTTCAGACCCTGTGTCAATGAGGGCACAGAGATTCGTGGCACCAAATTCCACTATAACTCTCGGATGCTGCCAGTCAGGACACCGAGAACACTTATTGGCAATTGGCACTTGATTCTTCCAGTGTACACACCTGCACCTGCGACCTCCTGGTTTTGCCAGACTCGACCTTCTCTTAAGCCAACCAATCCTGGGTTTTTGAAAAGCAACTGTAGGTTGCAATGGGTTGAAATGTGCTCCTGCCAAACATTGCAGGTAAATAAACCACATACAGTGTTATAAGGGGTTGAAATGCACTCCTGCCAAACATTGCCGGTAAACAAACCCCATACAGTTATCCTGATTAACAGAAGGTTGATGATAGATTATCGATTGTGATTCCCAATAATAGACCAAAACAACTACCTGGTAGAGAGCGCATACTACCAGCAGCACATAAAGAGAGGGCAGCTGGCCATTTACGCTCATCGTTCTCAAGTTTTGACGGCTTGCCTTTGTGAGCTTCAAATTGTAATGCATTGGTCGGTTAAGGAGCTCACTGCAGGCACGCCGTCGAATTTCCTTGTGGCCTGCTGGCAACTGTACATTAATTGGTAACTCGTCCCAGGGTGACCATCATGCTTATAAAAAGAGAATCCCCCCACCTGGCACAGAAGAACCATCAATCACCAGGCCCAAGGGGAGACTACCCTCTACAACTTCATACCTTGTTAACCTGTCAAGAGTTTCCTCCATGATTAGGATGTAGTCAATATAAATGACAACCTTTGACCATGGAAACTCATGTAGGATTGATTGCATCTCGCGCTGAAATGAAGATGGTGCATTTTTAAGCCCAAAACTCAACCGATTGAAATGCCAATGTGAGTGTGGAGTTGGGAACGCTGTATATTCACGAGAATTTTCATGGATAGGGATTTGATAGTATCCCCTTGTCAGATCCAAAGTAGTGAAAAATTTGTTACCCTTCAAACTATAAACTGCATCAACTAAGTTAGGTAAAGGGTATCGATCTGGTTTTGTTACTTTATTTAATCGCCTATAATCCACACAGAGACGTAAGGTTCCATCCTTTTTTCTAATCGGTACAACTGGTGATGACCATGCTGAACAACTTGGTTCAATAATACCAAGTGATGCCAGCTCCTTACACTGATCTTCTATCTNCAGAGAGGCTGATGTTCATCAAGGGCAGAGAGGCTGATGTTCATCAAGGGCAGAGAGGCTGATGTTCATCAAGGGCAGAGAGGCTGGTGTTCATCAAGGGCAGGGAGGCTGATGTTCATCAAGGGCAAAATCATCACCTCGAGGAGATGAAGGGCAAGCCCGAATAAAAGCAATGTTTAACCCTGATTTTACCTGTGTTCTATATTATTTCTTATTCGTTTAATAAACTGTATGTTGAATGTCAACTACTGCCAAATTTAATTTGTTCATTTAATTATTCATTTATCCATCTTGATCATTATCTGATCTTGGCATGCTACACCTTTTTGGAAAGCTCCTTGTCAATGCTTAAGTGAATTATTATTTATTTATTTTTACATATTTAAAGTTAAGCTCTCTTGTTCTGTTTTTCAGAGTTTAAGAGCCCCCCAAAAATTAAGCCAAAGCTAAATTGATATACTAAAAATTCGCGGTTAGCGGTAAATTCAGCTAAATTTTCCGACGATTTATCGGTTTAGCGGTACAAAAGTTAACTTTCCAGTTAGCTAACGAACGAAGCTAACTTTTCCGTCAGCTGTGTCCACCACTGATCTCACAGATCATTACTAACTTTAAAGTTGGCTTGGCTATCTATAAAACAGCAAACAACATGTTTCCAAACCATGTTACCTTTGTTCTTAACAATGTGTTGTCAGACCGAATTTTAAGAAAAGTGACGAAAAATCATTCAGTCAACTATATGAACAGAAACCATTATCTATTCTTGACCAGCATTCTGACTGAAAAATACCACTCGCCTCGGAGTGGCCGAGAGTTTAAGATCGATTTGGTGGAAGTAGTAAGTGAAGTGGTTGAATACTCGGACTAGCTGTGAAAACTTTGTTCAAAATTGGCAAGTCAAAATTGGCAAGTCAGACTAGATAAAGCTATGGACAGACTAGATAAAGCTATGGAAAAATATATGTTCAGATTTGAAATGCCTAGCACCTTATCGAACCCAGTGGAAGTCTAGTAGCTACTTCAAACTATCGTCAGTCATGAAAAGATCCGGTCAAATGAAACGATATTAGATCTTCTGTGAACAAGGCACGAAAAGGAAAAAAATCGGCGACAGGCCACATGAGGCCTACACTTAAGCGCCGAGATCAATATGTT